CATTCTCAGGTCTTGCAAACGGAGGGCCTTTGTGGCTTTTTTTATTGAGTCAGTCCCTCTTTTCCTGCTGCCTTCCACTTTTCCCAGCGTTATTGTCTTTTCCAGTGAGTCTTGTCTTCTCATCATGTGACCAAGTACAATAGCCTCAGTTTGGCCATTTTAGCTTCAAGGGAGAGTTCGGGCTTGATTTGGTCTAGGGCCCATTCATTTGACGGTCCATGGTATCTGTAAAACTCTTCCCCAGCACCCCCTTTTGAAGTAGTCTACGTTCTTCCTGGTAGCCTTCTTCATTGTCCAGCTTTCTCATCCATTCATAGACTGCAGTTATCCACAGCCATACTACATGTTCTGTTTTGACACCAGAGTAGCTGGTAAGGTGTGAAGTGTCTGGTAAAATCTGGAGTGGCTAAAATACGGTTGCCAGGTGTGTTCCCCCCCTCTTGTGGGGGATGGGAGAGTAGGTGTGCTAGATCCAGGTTGGGAAACTCCTGGAGATTCGAGGATGGAGCCTGGGGAGGACAGGAACCTCAGTGGGGTACACTGCCATAGAGCCCACCCTCCAAAGCAGCCATTTTCTCCAGGGAAACTAATCTCTGCAATCTGGAGATGAGCTGTAATTCCGGGGGATTTCCAGGTCCCACCTGGAGACTGGCAACCCTAGGCTAGAATCCAGCACTAGATGGGCCATTTATACATTGTTATCTTACGGCCCCTAATCTCTCTATATGGGGTGGCAGGATTCCATTCACGCCAAAATCAGTTGGGTGCAAGAGCTGCCACTCACAATGGAGACCGTGGCCACTGGCTGCCTTCTCTGACTCCCGCCCACCCGCTGCATCAGTCGGCGCCCTGAGCTGCCACTCAAAAGGCGCTGCCACCGTTGTCTGGGTGCGTGGTGGGGTCCCGCCCATAGAAGTGCAATGAGGGGTGGGCCGCGGTGGAGACGCCCTGTGTGACTCGCTCGGCCAGAGAGCCACTGACAGCCCGTGTGGTAGCTCTCGATGCCGGTATCTGCACAGGTGGCAGGAGATGCAGGCCTGTCCCCTCGCCAACGCCCCCCCCCCCCCGGTGTGAGGGCCGGGTAGAGGGGGGCGGGGAAGGCCCCGCCCCCGCCTTTCTAGAGGCCGTTGCATTGTTCCTGCAACAGGCCTTGCTCCTAGTTGTTATATATGAGCCATTCTGATTGACCCCAGTTTTTACTGTTTCCAAAGCAGAATATTTTCTATTGCTGGCCATCAGAGGATCAAACCAGTCTCAGTTGTCTTTTCCTCTGGATTCACAAACCGCTTACAAGGTGCCAGGGATTTTTTGTGGGGGATATAAACTGCAGCTATCTCTTGGGGTTAAGGAGGTTAGTTGCAGAGTATATTTTGTTTTTCTTAAATTATTATTTTTAAATTATGATTCATCAGCCGCCTTGAGGTATGAGGAAAGGGGGGGATGTAAGTGTTTTAATAGTTAAATTTAATGTTGTAGTCTTTATTCTAAACATGGGTAAGATTTTCTAGATATCTCGTTGCCTAGGCCGCATCTATAACCTTGAGTAATTTAAGAAGTCTTGTGTTCCAGTAATTAACAGCGTTCAAGCGATCAGCTTTCACAACCTCCCTTTGATGGTTAAGCCACCGTAGCTTTAATTATATTATTCAAAGAGGCAGAATTGCCTTCCCATGCATCTTGTGAGTCAGCTGCTGTCAGTGGATGTAGTTTCAAACATGGTGCTTACCATCTTGAGTCTGTAAGTGACTGAACCTATTTTAGTCCATTCCTCCCTCCCTTTTGTTAGTCTTGACCCTCCTTGGTCCTCCAAGGAAGTAGAGTTCTTAACAAGCACTGGGCAGCACAGAAGTTCATAAAATTCTTGGTGCTTTCCAAAATGTAACTAGCGCAGTGGAGGAGAAGGCTTATTAGCTGGATATCCAAACAAAGTTTGAGTCCAGTGGTACCTCTGCGACCAACAAAGTCTAATTCTGGGTATAAGCTTTTTTGTGCATGCACACTTCTTCAGATACACACAAAAGCTTATATTCAGAATTAGACTTTGTTGGTCTGTTACTTCAGGCCAACACGGCTACCCACCTCAATCTATCTGAACATCTGTCAGGGATGGTTATTAGAATATTTCCCCCGCCCGCACATCCTTTTTTTGCAACTGTACCGGCCTCATAAAAAGCATAGGTTTGTACTTCTTAGGCATCTTTTTAAAAGGCGATGCTTTCATCTGTGTTGTGGTAAGGAACAATGGAGCTGCGGTGGCTCAAGTGGTTAAGACGCTGAACTGCAGGCTGTGGAAGGTCGGTAGTTCAGCAGTTCAAGACCCGAGTGTGCCGCATGACGGAGTGAGCTCCCGTCTCTAGTTCCAGCTCCTGCCAGCCTAGCAGTTCAAAAGCAAGAAATTGCAAGTAGATAAATAGGTACCTCTTCGGTGGGAAGGTAACAGCGTTCCGTGCGCCTTGGTGTTTAGTCATGCCGGCCACATGACCACGGAAAGGTCTTCGGACAGTGCTGGCTCTTCGGCTTAGAAACGGAGATTAGCACCGCAACCCTAGAGTCGGACCCGACTGGCTTTCGAGCAAGGGAACCTTTACCTTTTTAAGGAACTGTAGAAAGAGGGGTTTGCAAAGGGATTGTAAGGGGTTCACGATGCTCTGGAATTTTAAGAATCTTTAGTTATACTCCTAAGCGCGCTTAACAGGGGTGTTCTGTTTGCAAACGTGCTTTGGGGTGGGCTCTAAAATGGTTCCCTGTTAAGGCTTAATATGAGCCAGGCCATGAGATATGTTGTCAGTTCTATGATTCAGCTCTGGATAGCTTGAAGTGACAAAGGGAGGTGCGCCTCTGAGGGTAATCCAGAAGTTACCTTTCCTCACCTGTGAATAGTCATGGCAGCCGACTCTTATTTTTGAGGTGTGTGTGGTGGTGGGTAAGGTGGGCCTCCAGGTCAAAATGCCTGGTTTCCAAACAGTGTTGAGACCCAGGACATCGGTAGGATTCCCAGCTCTGGGTTGGGAAATAGCTGGAGGTTTTGGGGGTGGAGCTTGAGCAGGGTTTGAGGAAGGGAGGGACTCCAGTGTGGTCTAACGCCACAGAGTCCACCTTCCAAGGCGGCCATTTTCTCCAGGGGAACTGATCTCTGTCGCCCGGAGAGCAGTTGTAACAGTGGGGGACCTCCAGCCACTACCTGGAGGTTGGGAACCCTATGCATTAAGCACTGCACTTTCCAAAGTTTGGGGGGGGGGAATGGTGTCCATTGTCTGTGTGAAATGGATCTCATTTTGAAGGTAAAGCTGTCACACGGAGACAAATAATTTAACTACATTCGATTATTTGAAGTAGGCTCTAGGTTAACGTTTTAGCCTTAGCTGTGTTCATTTTTTTTTTACTTCTGTAATCTTTTTTAAAGCCCCAGAACTGCTTTATCTAAAACTTTTCTGTTCACGATACGTTTTGTGAGTAGTTTCTTGAATGGCAGCAGTTCACTTAAGAGCACCTGTGTGTAAGGAATCCAGGCCAGTGACATGCGGCACGATTGATAGGAATGTGTCATAAAGTATGAGTCACCACAGATGCTAACAAGATACAGATTTCAGACGTCAGCGCAAGACTTCTGCTTTTCTGCAGAAGGGCTTGTGGTAAACCTACAGTAATGGCAAAGTTTTATCATACCCAGCCGACAACTATTTTATACAGTTTCACAGACAGACAAAGGTGTTACTTATAGTAAAAGCTTTTAAACCTGTTTTGAACTGGGTAGCCATGTTAGTCTTGTCTGTAGCAGTAGAAAAGGGCCAGAGTCCAGGAGCACCTCAAAGACTAACAAAATTTGTGGCAGGGGAGGAGCTTTCGTGAGTCACTACTCCCTTCTTCTTGGTATCTGAAGACGTGCACAGTGACTCCTGAAAGCCCATATCCTGAACAATGCTCCCTCTAAGCTGTGGAGTCTCGTGAGCAAAAACTCTACTTTGTGAGCTACTGGCATTAAAGTTGTGAGTGAGCAATTTGGCTACTGCATAGATTAGTTTGCTCTGGAGCCCTCCCTCCTGAGCAAAGGCAAAAATGTGTGAGCCAGAGGCTAAAACACTGTGAGCTAGCTCACACTAACACAGCCTTAGAAGGAACACTGATCCTGACACAAATTTTGTTAGTCTCTAAGGTGCTACTGGACTCTTGCTCTTCTCTACTAATTTAAACTATCAGTTTAAAAAACGTGTGGTAGGAAGAAAGACAGAAGGCTGTCTTTGTGTGCTACTAGACCAGGAAGGTGCCTTTATAATGGAACAGGACTGTAGTCCACGACAACAATGATTCTAGGTTTCATCTTGCTTTTACTTAGGGTTGCTGGGACCCTGGTGGAGGGGGGGGCGTCCCCTGCTGCCAGGCCCTACCTCCAGCGGCTGATCAGCTGGCTAATGGGTCGGGGGGGACTTACCATGAGAAAGGAGGAGGAGTTGGCCTCGTTACCGGTGTTGTGCAGGAAGTGACATTATCTCACCAGCTATGTCCAGGTGACGCTCTGGTATTTGGGCAAAAACTCTATGGTAGAAGCCAGTTTGACCATGGAGTTTTTGCCCAAAGACCAGAGCGTTGCCCAGGTGTTGCCGGTGTGATTATGTCACTTCCTGTGTGATGCCAGTGACGAGGCCTAGGCATTTTTCTTTATCCTCATAAGCGCCCCCTCCATCCCCTGCTGGTTGCCGGGAGTGACCTGGCAACCATACTTTTACTGCATTGCCTTCTATTTTTGTGCTACACTCTGCTTTGCCTAGGCAGTTGCGGTTTGTACGGTCTGCTGTCCTGTAATCCTAGCCCAGTTGTGTTGTTCACTGGATGTCTTCTGCAGTATGATTGTATTGCTTTCCTATTATGTAATTCACCTTGAGTCTCAGTGAGAAAGATGCGATATAAGAAAAGTGTATTTTTAAAAAAGCGAATCACTCATTCAGCTGAAGCCATAAATGGAGACAGGTGAGGAATTCATTGCATTTGCTTTGCTTTGACAGGTGAAGACCGGTTCACCATGTCCCGGAGGAAATCAGAAAGCAAAACCCCTCCAGGCCTGTTGCCTGCACCTTTTCACATGCAAATAAAGACGGACAACTTCGGCGATTTCTACGAAGTTGAGCCCAGAGAGCTGGGAAGGTAAGAACATTCTAGTGATTTCTGTGGATTTCAGTTTATAGCTGAAGTGATCCCTGTTGTAGGCCCATGTCTATAAGATGGAGTATTTAGTAATGGGATTCATCCATACCATATTTCAATGCAATGACTGACTTGGGTTGGTCAGCAACAAAAAGATGGGATATAATCTTTGTTCGCCTCAGGACAGCAGGATTCAGAGTCAGAGCGCTGGAGTCCATCGTCATGGTGGTGCCAGGCCCGCTGAGCTGCAGCCAGAAAAGCCACTTCCTGCTTCTCACTTTTTCCCAGGCCCTTGCTGTTGGCACTGTTCTTATTTGATTAAGAGCAGGCTGGGAGGGGTGTGTGTGTGCCTCCGGGTGCTTCAAGGGGAGTGTGAGGTGCTTGCTTATAGGGGAGACGGTTTTACCTTTAAACACAAACACGCTTTGTGTACCTAAACTTGGTAGATTTCTGCTGCCACCAGGCATTAAAAATTCCAAACCTCTCTCTCTGCTGGTAGAATGACCTAGGACAGTGGTGGCGAACCTATGGCACGGGTGCCAGAGGTAGCACTCAGAGCCCTCTCTGTGGGCATGCGTGCCATCGCCCCAGCCAAGCCCCGACCATCATTAAAGTGTCGAATTCTCTGCCAAATAATTTTAAGTAAATGAAAGCATTTGGGATTGCTTTCCTTACTTTGTTTGGGTCATCTTAAGTTAATGTATGTAACCTCAATATTTAGGTTAAATTGCCGTGTTGGCACTTTGCAATAAATAAGTGGGTTTTGGGTCGCAGTTTGGGCACTCGGTCTCTAAAAGGTTCGCCATCACTGGCCGAGGGTCTGGGCACTTCAGAGGGCTATGTGGCCCTCACTCTGACAGGCATAGACTCTCAGTATACTCTTTCTCTCTCTCTCTCTCATTCATATATCTCTCTCTCATTCATATATATATATATATCCATCCAAACTGGCTAATCTCCTTGTCTTATTCACCCAGAACAGAATCGGCTCTTATGGTCACTCAGACTAAACTGTTTGCCTTATTCACACAGAATAGAAGCAAAATTCCATAGTCACACATACTATGCTGTCTCTTCAAACTTCACACACAGAACTCTGTCATAAAGCATCTCTCCTCTCACACTCTCAGTCATCAGCCAATCACAGCACACTCATCTCCCCCTATCGCTCTCTTTACATTACTGCAGTCAAACGCAACATTTAAAGACACACACCCACATCAAAACATGGAATCATTACAGGGAGGCTGTGGTGTTAAGAAACCTTCCTCGTGGCTACCTGTTCCTGGTCGCCCAGCATGAAGTGTATGAAAGAGGGGGCAGGATTTCCCTTCTGTTCCGTGTTGTACAAGGGAAAGATCTTGTCTCTCTCCCGGATTCTGCAGCGTGTTCATAGAAAGGAGGGAAAGAAGGATCTGTATTCCGCTTCACGCTGGACTTGGAGGCCCCTTGATAGTATTAGGAGAGAGTCTCGACTTCTTCTGAGTGGTTCAGAAACCTAGAGGGAAGTGAGGGACCTGCTGCTCTTCGCCCCCGAGACCTCTGCAAATGTAAGTGGGCACCAGTAGAAATTCCCGAGTGCCAGAAACGGTCTGTTTCTCAGTTGCCAAGGGAGTGGAAAGGGTTTTGTTGTTGTTCAGTCGCACAGTCGAGTCCGACTCTTCGCGACCCCATGGACCAGATCATGCCAGGCCTTCCTGTCTTCCGCCGCCCTCTGAAGTTGGCTCAATTTCATGTTTGTTGCATCTATGACACTGTCTAACCATCTCATCCTTTGCCGTCCCCGTCTTCTTTGACCTTCAGTCTTTCCCAGCATCAGGGTCTTCTTCTCCAGTGAGTGCTCCCTTCTCATTGGGTGGCCAAAGTATTTGAGCTTCAGTTTCATTATCTGGCCTTCCAGGGAACAGTCAGGGTTGATTTCTTTTAGGATTGACTGATTTGATCTTCTTGCTGTCCCAGGGACTCTCAAGAGTCTTCTCCAGCACCATAGTTCAAGTGGAAAGGGTTGCTGGAGGGGAAAAACCCCCAGTACTTCCGTGCCTTTTGTGTGGGACTATTGAGTGCATAGGATTCTTTTCTTAGGAGGTGACTCCTTGACAGTGTTAAAGTGAACGTGTGTATTTGTGAAGTGTCATCAAGTCACAGCAGTCTTATGGCCACCCCGTAGGGTTTTCAAGGCAAGAGACAGTCAGAGGTGGATTTGCCATCGCTTGCATCTGCGTAGCAACCCTGGACTTCCTCGGCCTCTCCCATCCAAATACTGAGCTGGGCCGACCCTTCTTAGCTCCTGAGATCTGATGAGATCAGACTGGCCGGGGCCCTTCAGGTCAGGGCGAAGCGAATATCGTCTCAAACAAACCATGGTAGCTGTTACAGTAACAATTATATATAGGATGTATATAGGATTTCGATTATTGAATACATGGTGGTCTTGTGTTTAGAAGAAGAAGAGATTGGGTTTATATCCCGCCCTTCACTTGGAGTCTCAGAACGGCCTACAGTCTCCTTTCCCTCCCCACAACAGACACCCTGTGAGGTGGGTGGGGCTGAGAGAGCTCTTTCGAGGACTGCTTGTGAGAGAGCAACTCTGACAGAACTATGGGTTGCCTAAGGTCATCAGCAGCTACATGTGGGGGAGTGGGGAGTCAAACCCGGTTCTCCCAGATTAGAGTCCACGCACTTAGGCCCTACACCAAACTGGGTCTAGCAACTTTAGTAACTTCATTGCTAGCTTGAGGTATGTGATACAACTCTTGGACTTGTCCATCTATTTTAAAAATGTATGCATTGGCATCCCAGTGGCTCAGGGTAGCTCAAGATATATAATACTAACCTCCCATAAAAACATATTTAAAACCACAAACCAAAACTTAACATCAAACAGCTCTTGTATTATACTCGGTTGTTAAGTAGAGCTGTGCTTTCCCTTGTCATTTTGCCTGTGGCTTCCGTTCCTGCCACTTATTTTATATAATAAAAGAGTTTTCACATAGTTTGCTTCCTACATGGGTATTGGTTCCACTCTGTAGGAGATTAAAGTCTAGTGGGGCACCTTTAAGACCCACAAAGTTTTATTCAAGGTATTAAGCTTTCATGTGCATGTGCACCTCTTCCGAAGAAGCGTGTGTGTGCACGAAAGCTTACACCTTGAATAAAATTCTGTTGATCTTCATGGTGCCCTTGGACTCAAACTTTGTTTTGCTACTTCAGGCCAACACAGCTACCCACCTGAATCCATGTAAAAGATCGTGTGTAATACAATAAATGGGTCAGGTTCAAACATAGGAGGAAGCACCAACTGATAAATGGTTCCTGTTATTTATTTGAACCACTGGGGTTTTGTCACAGGGCTAAGTGGAACCTGCTGAGGTAGGCATAGGGTTACCAAGTACCTACCGCGAATCGGCGGGGGACACATGGTCCCCGGCTGGAACATTCCTCCCTGTAACACACCCATGCCACACCATGCCGTCGCCAGGAAGTGACGCCGGGAGACGCTCTGGCAATGGGGCTGGAAACTCAATGGTTATTCCTAGTTTATTTATATTCAGCTTTAAGCCTTTCAACTAAAAAATACCCAAGAAAGTTTACATCATATTTAGTACTTACAATAAACCCAGGAAAAACAATAAAACCCCTTCAAAAACACCAGTTGAGAGCTAGTGTAGTGTAATGATTAGAGTGCTGGGTTAGGATCCAGGCGACCCAAGTTTGAATCCCCATTCTGCCATGAAAACGTGCTGGGTGACCTTGGGCCAGTCACATGCTCTCACCATAACCTAGGCCACAGGGAGAAAAAATTATGTCAGCTGCTTTACATCCCCATTGAAGAGAAAGGCAAGGGTGAAAATGAAGTATTCCAGCTCTCTGTTTCCATTCTTCTCTGCAGTGCCATTACTCAGTCTAGCTCAAAGCTGTTCTGGAACAGGTAGACTCATCAGGGCGGACTTTAGAGAAGCAGCTGTTCTAGTTAGAGGGGGCAATAGCCAAAGGGGTTGTCCCTGGATTGCCACCAGCCAAACCTCTGTAAAGGCTGGTTCCTAAGGGACTAGGGCCCATGCACGCTGTCCTAAATATGCATATATACATATGTACAAAATTGAATTTGTAATTCATTTAAAAATTCATAAAAATCAACACACTTCAAAAACAAGGGGTGCCTACTCTTCAATTTACCATGAGATTAATTATGCTTGCCTAGTCACTAGTAGAAACAAGAATTCACACAGACTGGAAAGAAGCATCTTGTATAGAAGCCCGCATTGATAAAGAAATAGGTTTTCCATGAAGTCTGATATTATTCGGTCAGACTTTGCATTGACTGTTATTGAACAATGAAAAAAATTGCACTGGATCTAGACTGGTTCAACAGCTGTCAAATGTACAAAATTGTAGGTCATGTGTGAGACCTATATTCAGTTTTATTTCTTTATCAACACACTTCATTCACTTTTATGCCCCAACTCGGTGCTGATGAGGAAGACATTAAAAGCTTTTATGCAAGTATCTAAGAAGAAATTGATCACACACCTAAACAAGATGTGCTGATCTTCATAAGTGACCAGAATGCAAAAAGTAGGAATCAAAGCAGAATCAAGTATTGTTGGAAGATTTGCACCAGGAGCTTGAAATGAAGCAGGAGAGTGACTCATAAAATTCTGGAAGACAACAATTTGTTCATTGCAAACATGTTTCAAGCAACCAGACAATTGTATACAGGGACATCACTGAACGGCCAATATAGAAATCAAATAGATTACATAATTTGAAGCAGAAGATGCAGAAGCTCTATTCTGTCTGCTAAAACAAGACCAGGAGATTATTGTGGTACAGATCATGAATTGTTAATATAAAAAAAACCCCTGTAATATCTGAAGGAAGAAATCTAGAAACATCAACAAGAACTGTGCTGTGCTGAAATATACTTAATGAAGTACCTCTCAAAAAAAAAATAGAAAGCCTTGAAACAAAACTACAAATACACTCTCTTGAATGTTCTA